GCCAGGCTGGAAGCCCAGTGAGCTCTGGCAGTAAGACAGAATCAGACGAGCTGAAGGAAACAGAAATTGCAGGGCACTGGGTGAAAACTAAAGGTAGCACTCCTCCCCATCAGCTCTTGAACTCCTGACTTGCCCCAAGACTGCAGCCCAGAGTGGAAAGAAAACAGCTGTTTAAACTCCTGTTTTTCTACCTCCACCCTACAGCAATCAGAGTGCCGATGACAAATTTATTCAAGCTCCAAGAAGTCCAGGTTCCAAAGCAACTGGGTGTCATCATGACCTGCTTGTCAGAAGAAATGCTTTGCTGGCACATTTGAGGTTCGTTATTGCTGCCAACAGCAATTCATCTTGTTCCATTACTTTAACACACCAAGGGGCCTCTAAATTGCTAATTAAGGTTAGGTGGCTGAGAAATTCTAGGTCATTTCTACCTTTCCCAGCTAATGTGGAGATGTTTTTCCATCTACACTTCTAAATAAATCACATTGGTGTTTTTACAAATCTTTGCAAAGCAATTAAATATTTTCTAATAATGAGTAAAGGCAGTTTGGGTCACATCACCCTTGCTCCCTTCCTGCAATTGAGGATGCAGGTGACACACCTGTCTCCACAGCCAGAAGCCAAAAGTGGTGGGGAGCAACTTCAGGGTTCACCCAGCCCTCAGAGATCCTCTTTGCCAGCTGCCTCAGCACAGAGCTGCTTCTGGCTTGGCCTCTTGCCATTGAGTCCCTAACTGGGTATTGTGTGATTATTTCGCTAGCAGCACCAATGTGGGTGGCGCTGAGGAGGCTGGGTTTGCCCTGATGGTCAGGCCTTGAATAGAACAAGGCTATTCTAAAGCTGGTGGGGTTCATCCTTGGCGTGATGGAGAATGGTAGGAGCAGCAACAGTTCTGACTTTCCCCACTCCCATTCTTCCCTGAGGTGAGTCATAAAATCTACAAATACTTCAATCTTCCCCAAAAGTAGATCATCAGCTCCCCATTCAACAGATGGCCTCCTGATACCCAGAGAAAAGAATATTCTCATGTCTGCAGCAAAAAGGACGCACAGAAGAGTCTCAACAAACAGGCCCGGCAAAGTCTCCCCTGGCTTGTTCATTAGATTATGTCTTCATTTTTCTATCATGTGTCCCAACAGCTGTCCACTGTCTGACAGATCTAGCCAAAAAACACACAAGTGGAAGCATTTCTTTGACATTCTTTGAATTACAAAAGCTGCTGTGCTGTGTTACATTGACATGAAATAAATGTGTGCTTTTCTCCTATTAATCTGCCTTTATTAATGGGTCTTGGCCACAAAGTGGGGTGGGTAGAGAAAAAGATACTAGTCTGCCCCTCCAAACAATGAAGTGAAGCTGACAGAGTTTGTCCCCAAACCCCTTCCGTTCTCTGTGTTTATCTTCAGTCTCCCTTCTCAGGAGCCCAGGCAGGCTGGATCTCAAGGACAATATCTTCCTTCAAGTTCTTTCCCTTTCCTAGTCCCTCAGCTACGCTTACTTTATGCTGAAACTTCAAGGTCTTTGGGTGGGGGTGGGGTCTTCACTTGTCAACCTTCTATTTTTTATTTATTTATTTATTTATTTTGTCTTTTTCATTTTTATGGGTACTGGGGATTGAACTCACGACCGCCTGCTTGCAAGGCAGGTGCTTATGCCACTGAGCTAGATCCCCAGCCCCTTCGCCAACCTTTTAAATCAGCCACATAAAAGCACTAGCGGGTGGGTATGTCAAAGCATGGCGAAAAGCTAAGACAGAGTTGAGCGTCTTGCTCCTGATAATAAAGAACCGTGCTGGTCAAGCTCAGAGCCTCAGCAGGGCAGAACCTGATCTTGAAATTTTTTGGCAGTGGTGGGCTGGCAAATCAGCGCTTTGGGGGAGGAAGAGCACTTACCAATATCCATGAGAAGAAATATTGAATCCCATCATGGCCTAACTGCAAGCTACTGAAGATTTAACAAATGGCCCAGTAACTCCTAAATATTTAATGAATGTTCCTTGTCAGCCCTAGAGACCAGCTCTCATACACTATTTTTTCAGAACCCTGAGGCTAAGGGACTGAGGGACTCTCAGAGGTGCAAGTGATTAACATCATTGGTAGGAGCAGTGTCAGTTGAGGCAGCTGTAGATCGGCTGGCAGTCAGAGGAGGAGGTATTGCAGTGAGTGTATCCTTGGTTGGCTGATTTCCAGAAGGAAGAGAATGACACTGATTAGTTCGTTAAACTCCCACTAAACTGAGTTGTCAATAAGACACTGAATAGGCTTGCAACTAGTTTTGATGGGTATTTGTTAGCAGGATACATACATGGAAATTTCTCTTCTCCCAAGTTTTCAGAAACATTTTAATTCTCAGGTAGTACACTAGATAAAAATTTTAACACAGGCCTTCTTATCAAAGACTGGATAAGATAAGATGATCAGAATTCCATTTATAATTATAGTATTTGAATGGCCAATAGAAAAAATCCGGCACCAACAATAAAATGAACACAGCCTTATAAGCTATGTCTCCTATATCTAAGTAAAGAATTTTTGTGTAAGATTTTCAGTTCATTTTAGAGCAATAACCTCAGGTTTTTCCTTTAAGATAAACTTCAGCTACTTCTTAGACCTCTGTTCCAGATACACGAGGAACTGACAGTCTTAAAACGACATTGTGTTTGGCTTATCATCAGAAGGTCCTCATCCTTTATCTTACAAGCTTGTCCACACCATGCTCTTCTACCTTCCATCCTCAGCACAGGCTACACACAGCCTGAATCCTCACCTATGAACACAGTGGGGATTCTTTGAGAATCGGAGCTAGAGCAGTTTGTATTGATACTCGTGTCTTCCTAAACTTGCACTAGGATGTCCTAGAATACTATTTTACTGTTTGTAGCTCATTGTTTTATTCAAAATGGTTTGAACCTGCTATTTGTATTCAACAAAACCATCTCCATGCTTCCTCAGTACTGGAATCTTTTTTCTTCTCTGAATATCCCTGTGCTCAAAACCCTCTGAACATGGACTTAGATTGCATCCAAAGCTGTGGTCAAGAACAGGTACACAGGCAGCAGAGATCCTGGTTTTAAAAATGGTCCTTACTGGGGAGTCTGGAGAACATGGCGGACAGACAACAGCAACTACTGAAGGCTCTCTAAAGGCTCGGCTCAGAGGCCAGGAATGATGCGGACTAAGGAGATACGAACCAGTAGAGATATGCTCTGCTGACTCAGGAACGAACTGGGCTGAGAGAATCCAACTTAGAATACAGTCCTGGCGCTAAAATAGGAACAGAAAAATCTCGGTGTGGAGGCTCGACCCCGCGCCATTGGAAACCACGATTTGGATTTCCCGCCGCCCGGCGGCTGGCTGCCTCCACGGCGGCTCGGCAAGGAGAGACGCGCAGAGCTCTGGGAACGGGAGTCTGCGAACGGAGTCGGAAACAGGACGGACAAGGAGGAAAACTGACTGGTGGCGAGGTGAGCGAGAAACTGACTCCCTACCACAGTTTGACTCCAGCGGAGGTTTTTCTGGGCTCGGGCAGTCCTGTAAGTAGTTGCTGTTGTCTGTTAAGATTTTATACAAAGGTATTAGATGTAGTATTTAATAGAGTAATAACTTGGTGAAACCTAAATGATCTATATTAGGGAATATCATGTTTCACCTTATTTATATCCACAGAACAGAGTATTAGGCTGCTGTATGTATTTCAAAGGCAGGGGACAAAGAAGGTGTTCACGATTTAATGTGAAGTGGGAAAAGGGGAAACAGACCGTGAGGTACTGATGAACTGTGCTGTAGAAACATACAGGGCAAGAAATACAGTAAGATGGTAGAAACGTCCAGGCAAGATCAGGCAGAGTGGTGTGTGCATTCCTGCAGCCCTGGAGGAGAGGGAGGCTGAGACAGGAGAAGTGCAAGTTTGAGCCCAGCCTGGGCAACTTGGTCACTTAGCAAGAGCCTGTCTCAAGAAAAATGGGAAGGCTGAGAATGTAGTTCATTGTGAAGGCCCTGTCCCAGGTACCACCACAAACAACCCCAAAACAGCACCCTATGAAAGATTCCTGTGAGGACTTCTGGAATCTCACTGAACAGCTTCTTGGATGAAAGCACGCCTGGAAGGGTACGCAGAGTGTTTGGGGGTGAAAAGGTGCTGTTTCCCCTGCTCCTCTCCTTTGGTTCCCCTGCAGCTGCTACCCAGCAGGGCTCTCAGGCTCAGCCCTGCAGCTTCACACCCTGCCCCTGGGCTCACTTCCTCCCACTCCCTGAGGTCACATGGCTCTGAGGGGACACTCCTGATCCTGGAGAGCACAGTCGCCCTCCCCCCCACGCCCCTCAGCTGGCCACTGCGCTCTGCTGTCCTATACTGTTTATAGCACTCGGAAGGAGAAGACAGAGTCTGCATTACAGAGAAGTGCAGTGATCGTTGCTGTGGTATTTAATTAGTTGCAGTTTAGGATTTATGACCCCAGAAGGCACTGGGAGGAAGAACTGGGTCTGTGCTCTTCCTGGAAGCCTTTAGCTGTCATTTCTCTGTGTTCTTCTGGTGTCTTCCCTTCTGCTTAGATTTATTACTGTTTTTGTGGTCTGGGGAAATCAGATGATGAGGTGTATTAGATTATTTCTTAATTGAGTCAATAGATTACTTGAAATAGGGTTTCTGAGGTATCTTCCAGTGGGTGAGAGAGGCGTATCTTAGTGCAAAGGTTATGCTGGTAATCTCGCTCACCAGTCTTCCATATGGTCACCCATTTCTAGACTGCATGCTTGCTTTTGGGATTGTCAAGTAATTTTGAGTAAGTAAATCAATAATGTGTGTATTATAAAAACAAGCATTTCACTGTTGAAGCCAAATGCTCATCTCAGAAGCCTGGTGTTCACTTGGTCCTGGCACACAAGCCTGTGTGTAGCTGTGAAGTAAGACACGCTCCTTACTGTTCCTCTGTATCAGAGGCTATTTATAATACATTTTTAATTGTATGGGTTTTTTCTGAACTAAAGTTACTAAATTTTCACTTGGTTATGATTCTGACTTGTGTTAGGAACTATGCATTCCTTTTAATCAAATGTTTGACATCAAATTTCTCTCTCTTTCTTCTAGATAAAGGAGAGAATATACCAAGGTAAATCTCTTCCTGTTGGTGTTTGGGAGGACTTTTAGGCAGGCTAGGAGCGACAGTGACTTTGGTGTCTGATTTGACTCACTAACTGCTCCACATTTTACTGTTGCTACTAACCATGGTATAGTGGGGAGGGTGATGGTACCGGCTGAGGTAGGAGATGTGGTGCAGGGGTGACTGCTTACTTGGAGCACACAGAGCGTGGCTGGACCACACAGGTGTGGAGAGAGGACAGTGTGTCTGTGCTAGGGACACCTCGGCCCCTATAGGTTTATCGGCACAGGAGCTCGAGAGACAGCAGTGCAGATCTGTAGCCTAAAGTTTCTTTTTCTCGTAGCAAATGACATTCATTTGAAGTGATCCGTTTTCAGAGAACAAGTGCCTTTTGTGAAAGGAGCCTCTCCAACTGTGTGACATTTTACTGTATCTCCTGCCTTTGCAGTAATTGATATCTCCTCAAAACAAGTATTACTATAGTTTTCTTAAAGTTTAACAGTGTCCTGTGCACTGCTGCTGTTAGCTTCGGGTCTCTCTGGACAGGCAGGTAGCTGTGCTAAGCCCTGTCTCTCACAGAGCCTCACAGGTGTCCTTGCTGCTGAGACACTGTGCAGCTCAGTTCCATTTAATGCTCCTAATAACCTGGCTATTTCCTCTTTTTAGTCACTGAACAGCAGATTGCCGAAAAGGTGAAGACTACCACAAAGGACAATGCACAACTTGCAGAAAAATTGTCAAGTTATGAACAGAAGGTAGAACCTCTCACGGGCCCTCCTCTAGCGCGTCTGTGGTGTAGCTCAGTTATTACGGTATTTTGAAGGCCTGTGTTCTCGCTTCATCATTTCCTCTGAGCCCTCCAGATCTTATGCACCATCATGTGTAAAGGGAACGCTCTGCTTGCTTCTTTGGAACAAGGTTTTACTAGCACAGTGACTTCTGTTACTTAGTTCTGAATGTGTTTTTTACATAGATCAATCAATCGCAGAGGCTTCTTCAGGAGACCAAGAATCAGAATAGGATTCTCTCTGAGGAAGCAATTAAATACAAGGTAAAAGTCCTTCTCTTTTGGGGATTATAGTCTAAAAACAAAAGCAAGCATTAATGCATACTGTTACTTTTAATCTCTTTTCTTCTGGATAAAATAAAAGTGCTTGAAGGAAGCAAGGAATTTCTGGATGATACGGCCCGAACTCTTGGTGATATGTTAGAATGTGAGCGGAAACGCAACATGAAAAATCAGGATTTGGTGAGTTTTGCTGCTGCATGTTACTACAGGTGTATTATTAGGTATTTGGTAAATCAGTTGAGCTGTTCCCATGCTGTTAACTCCATGAGACTAGGAATAACAGAACTGAACATGCCTGTACCCATTTTGTGGGATTTTTAGTACTGATTCAGTAGAATGTTTTTATAGGCACGGGAAGTGTTTTGATCCTGAATCTTGGATAATTTCATAGTTGTGTCCTCCAGAACACACAGTCACTCAAAAATTGGTCCAGTTGAGTAGTCTGTGTAAACTGGTTTTATTTCACAGTGAACTCTGTGCCTTTCGAATAGTCTGCAAATCCCCTAAGCGGAAATGTAGTGAGGAGAGTTCTCATGCTTCCCACCTCCTGTGTGGCCTGGTCCTTTGCTCAGCACACACCTGGTGAATTGCCCATTTTCAGTATTTTGTGCACCATGCTGTTTGGCAGGAAGTTATGACATACAACCTGCAGTTAAAAGAACGGTGGGTTAGGGTCACCCCTTGAGCCAGTATTGTCATAAATATTGAGAAATTTGGCACATGAGATTTTTCTATTCCCCCAGAAACACTTTTTTTTCTATTGGTTTATTTTGGTTTTGTCTTTTTGAGACTGGGTTCTGTTATGCAGTTCAGGCTGGCTGTGAACTCACCTTGTAGCCTAGGCTGGCCTTAAACTCTCCTGCCTCAGCTTCCTGAGTGCTGGGATTACAGGCGTCCTCGACCATACCCAGCATTCTTACCATTTTTAATTCAGACAAGAACATGTTTAAAGTGATCTTGGAGCTGGTTTTTTTTTTTTTTTTTTTTTTTTTTTTTTTTTTTTTTTTTTTTGGTGCCAGGGATGGAACTCATGACCCAGTGCTTGGCGGGCAGGCATTTAATGCTGCTGAGCTAAATCTCCAGACCTTTTGGGGCTTGTTTTCCGGACACCAGAAAAAGCTGTTCATTTTCCATGGTGTGCTTGGACATTTCTTTATGCTATATGTAGTAACATAACCCCAAAGCTTGAGGGTGCCATGAAACTCTTGACTTCAGTTTTTTCTCTCAGCTCTTTAAGCAGATTTTTTCCCCAGACCACGTTTAATCCCGATTTTACCTAAAACATAGTGGATAGTTTGGGGTACCTTGTAGTAATGTTTTTGTTCTTTAGCATACGTATCAGTGTTTCTCCCACAGTCCTAATGCGTTCTGTGTGTTCCTTGCTTCCTTGGCAGGTCCTGGAAAATGAGAAATCTGTAGGGAAGCTAAAGGAGGTTATTTCAATGAATGCCTCAGAATTTTCCAAGGTAAGGCTGCCCACACTCCCTGCCGGTGTCAGTGTCGAGACTCAGCTGCATGGAGCAGTGGTGACCTGATGAGTGCTGAGAGCCATGGAAGGCAGAGGCCGTGCATGATTGAGGGGCAGGGCTGGGGCCCCTCCCTGGCGCGGCTCGTGAACAGTCGTGTTGTGCGTTAGGTTCAGGTCGCCCTGAATGAAGGCAAGTTGAGTGAGGAGAAGGTGAAGTCTGAGTGCCACCAGGTTCAGGAAGAAAACACAAGGCTGAAGAAGAAGAAAAAAGTGCAGATTTTGTAAATGTTTGGTCAGAGTGGGTGCAAACCCCGGCGACTTTAGCTCTGTCATCTTTTCTCATGAGGAGCTGCTTATGCAGGCCCCTGCAGCAAGCTGGGGAGCATCGAGTCTGTCCTCCCCAGCTTGCACATTACTGAGGGCACAGGCTCCTTTTGTGTTTCTCGTGGATTTTCAATTCTGTAAATTGATGGCAGTTCTTGGCCCTTGTCTTGTTAGATACTAGTCATTACTTTGGCCTCAGCAAGGCCAGGGGTTGGCTTTTTAAACCTCAGATTTAAGGCTTTGCTAAGCCTCCTCTAACAGTTACTGCCTCACATTGGCCATAGGAAGGTTAGATCAGGGATCTGTGATCAACACACACACACTGAGGCCAGAAATCCCACAGCTAGCTGCCGGCAGTTCCCATGTGAATGGGTTATGTTCCTGCTAGGGGGATACACAGGATAGTCCCATTAGGTGGTAAGGACAGTCCTGCATGCCCTGCAGCGGTTCATGCCAGTGGGAATATGTTAAGCCCCAGCAATACATGCCCACGGGTGCCACCTGGAAGTCAGGCATTTGAGTCAGCAGGCATTTTTCAGAAGGACTTGATGGATGGGGTCAGCTTCGTTGACAGCTCAGGGTGGAAGTCACACTCTGCAGTCCCGAACCAAGTCTTAGCCTCTGCGATGGGACAAGGAGGGACAGGACTCCTGCTTCCCCATCCCACTTGCATGGTCCTGTGCCTCTGTGGAATCCCCAGTCCGCAGGGACCCTTCCATATGACTTTCAGCTACAGCAGGAAGTTGAAGACCAGAAGAAGCTGAACGCTAAACTCAGCCAGCGAATCAGGTCGTTGGAAAAGTCTCAGAGGGATCTGGAAGCCACTCTCCATGATAAGGATGATAGCATTGGTGTAAGTTACCCCAGCCGGCCCAGCCTGATCATGAACACTTGGAAAACAACCCACTGTGAGGATGGAGAGGCTGTTAACTGCTGCTCCCTTCTCTGCTAGGCTCTGAACAACTGCATCATGCAGCTGAACCGGTTGGAGGAGAGGGGATCGGAATCTGAGGGTCGAGGTCCAGGCAGATGTGAGCCAGGTGAATTAGCCAAAGGAGAAGTGGGAGGTAAGACCGGCCCTAGCCCAAGGGCCCCTTTTTTTTTTTAACCAGGGATCTAACTCATGACCATGCACTCACCAGGCAGGTGCTTGTGCCACTGAGCTAAATCCCCAGCCCTTCAAGGGCCCTTTTTTGTCTTCTTCTCTTTATTGTTATTTTAGACAAGGTCCCTATGTAGTGGTTGGCCTTGATCTCACTGTGTAGTCCACACTGGCCTCAAACCCACAGCAAAATTTCTACCTCAGTCTCCTAAGTATTTTTGTCTTTAAATCCATACATGGATACTGCTTCTCAGCTGAGTTTCTTCTTGCCCTGACTGACCCATGAAGCTCTTTAGGTTCTTAGTGTGAAGGACGACAAGAGGATGAGAAAATAGACAGACCAATCTGGGGTCAGGTGGAGCCCATACCCTCCTCATGGGAAGAAAGGAACTGGCCCCTCACTGCAGGGGCATTTATACGTTTTAGCATCTTAATGTCATGTGACACCCTGTTGTCCTAGCAGCCCAATGTTCAGATTGTCTTGGGGCTTGGTGATCTCTGGGCTGAGGCAGCTTCTTCACATGGCAACCCCAGGGACTCTTTGTTCTTGGGCCAGCCATGCCCTGGCCCTGCATGTGTGGTCGGTTTGCAGCTTCAATGGCTCCCAACATCTGAATAATTCGTACTTATGTCTGGGTCACTGGGGTGCAGTAGCAGCAGGCAAGCGGGGAAAGCTGCTTTTCCACCCCTAAGAACTGGATGTGTACGCTGGAGTCTTTGCCTTTGTGTCGGCCTCTGTGCCAGAGAAGAAACTCACTCAGCTTTCTGGAGATGACACAGGGGTCCGTACTCACGGCCTCTGCTGTTCTGTGGTTCTCAGGCACGTGGCCAGGGTCACCTAGAGTGTGGGGATGGGGAGCCACAGCCCAGGCTGTGAGGGCAGAGGCTGGAGAGCAGCAGGGTCTGAGATGAGAAAAGTGGTCAGGGTGCCACCCCAGCTGCAGAGGGTGCTCAGGGTGCGAGTCTGGCCCCACGCCGGCCAGCTCCCCCTAGACCATGTGGCATGCTGTCTTGGCAGGAGCTCACAAAATCTAAGGGTGCAGTTGTCCTGAAAGTCAGTGTGTCAGTTCTGTTGGTGAATTGTTTTTCTTTACAGTGTGTCATGAGCATTAGTTTAGTTTTGTGGAAGTCAAGACAACAGTGTTAGAAACGGCACAGGAAGGCACAGCCACACTTGTTCTCTTTGTAGGTGGGGAAAATAAGAAGGCTCACATGCACCAGCTGATGGATGTCTCCCGGGTGAGTCCCTTCACAGAGACCCCAGGGCCCTTGAGTCCTGACTCAGCCTTACTTTCAAGCCTGTGCCTCTCCCTCACAATTTTCAGACACATCCCGCAATATCCGTATTTCAGAAAGATCTCCAACTCCTGGAGTTGAAGCTGAGAGCCTCCCTGTCTGCCAAATGTGATCTGGAAGGTAGGTCCCTGACCGCATGGTGGTCAGGCTGAGTGCCGGCATGAATGAGGCAGGGATGCTGGGAGCCTGGTTCTGTGTCTTTGGCGGTGCCCTTGGTGACGTGTCTCACCTCCCAGACCAGATCGTGAAGCTAGGTGAGGACTGCGGCAGGCTGCAGGCGGACAAGGCCCGGCTGGAGGAGGAGTTTAGCATGCTGCAGCAGAAGGTGGAGGTCCTGAAGGAGCTGTCCCACCAGAAGGAGCTGGAGCTGCAGAAGTGAGTCCCAGAGATTTTGCCCAGTGTCTTATGCTGGCCATTCCTGTCACTTCTGATTGCCTAGCAGCTTTGATGTGCAGTGATCATAGAGGAAACTTGGGGCCCAGGGTGCTTCTGGTTTCCTGTGATGGCGACCTGAGGCTGCTCCTGCCTGTCCGCCGTCACCTTCATCCAGCTAGCAGTTGGGCCCAGTGTCCCTGCCTCTGTAGCCTCAGCTCCACTGCTTGTTTCTTAAAGCCTAGGGATTTGTCGAGGGCTCAGTTCAGCATCTTTGGCATTGTGCTCAATGTGTGGGTTGAGGGAGGGCAGCACTGGCCTCTGGGGCCCACATTTCACTTCTGGCTGGGGCCAAGGCTCCCGTCCTCCCATTCGGCCTATCTTGTGTGCTTATCATGGCCTAGGTGTAGAGGAACAGCTCTTCCCTGACAGTATGGGGGAAGGGGGGGAGGTGGACTCCGCCTATTGCTTTCCCAGCAGCTCTGCTGGACAATCCTGGCTTCCCTCTGGGTACACTCATCTGCCACACAGGCAGCTAGAGCCTGGCACATGCTGTGCTCTTAGCTTGTTCTGTTTGCCAATTAGACAATTACAAGGAGAGGTGAGAGAATTTAAGAACACAAGCAAATGGCCCAGAGCCTGGAGCTTGACTGCCCTCCTGAAACCCTGTGCCTGCTGCTGGGTGGGGAAGTGGCCTGTGGGCTGAGTTCAGCCCTGGCAGCTGCCTTTCTCCTAGGATACTGAGTCAGGCGGAATGTGCACAGCAGCAGCGAGAGCAGGCGCTGAGGGCTGTGGATGAGAAGGTGGTGCCGGCCACAGAGGAGGTGAAAATCTACAAGTGAGTGTGGCGTCCGAGAAAGAGGAACTGGGCTGAGTTGCTTTGTTACATAGAAGAGATGGGCACAGAAGCACATGAGAAGCCCAAGAATGGAATGTATTTAACTCACACGGGGAGGGGTTCTACATTAACAGACCAAGGCTTGTTAACAGCGAAGCTCCTTTGCAGATGTGTCCTGTGCCCATTTTTAGGAAGTCGGCCTGCTTCTGTCACACGTCTACACCCACCAGAGTCTCAGTGCTCCGACAGACCGGGGGCAGCATTTTGAGTCATTTCTTGTGGCTATAATTTGAGGGGAAAACCTTTTTTTTTTTATCTGTACCGGGGATCAAACTTACGACCGCCAGCTTGCAAGGCAGGTGCTTATGCCTCTGAGCTAAATCCCCAGTCCCTGAGGGGAAAACCTTTATGGGGAAGGTAGCCTTAGCCAGATTATTTTGAGATTGTTATTCAAGGACAGTTAAGGAAATTGACAAGTTGTCAACTCATAATCTCTAGGTATTAAATGAAAAATCAGGAAACTGAGGTTCACACTGCACTCATCACGTTATGAAATGTTTCTGTATGATGAAGTCTTTAAAGGTCAGACATGGTCAGACTGTTTCAGAATTTATTTGATTCTAACTGCTAAGTATTATTTTTAGGCGGCGAATCCGTGAGGTGGAAGCAGAATTAGAGAAAACGGAGCGCTCATTTAAAAACCAGGCAAGGAATAGAGTGCGCTGTGGTGACAGCATCCGTTAATCCCCCACACAGGAGTCATGGAGGGCTGCAGCCCGGTGACTGGTCCCTCAACCTGAGTCTTGCCGTGTTCTCTTGCAGCTTGCTACTGAGAAGAAAAAAGCCCATGAGAACTGGGTAAGAGCCTCCTCCTCGCCTTGCCTCGCATCGCCCTCTCCAGCTTCATTCAGCCACTGTGCTGAGCTGGCCTCTCTGTCTCCACAGCTCAAAGCTCGAAATGCAGAGCGCCTGGTGGCAGATGAGAAGCGGCAGGCCGCCAACCTGCGGCAGAGGTTAGCAGCGCGTGGCGCGATGCGATGCGTGGCGCCCACGTTTTAGACCACTCAGTGTGGCTATGGTCACCCCCAGCCCTACTGTGTCTGTGTGCAGGCTGATGGAAATTACCCAGAAGCTGGATATGCTTAAAGAGGAGCCTGGGATCATTAAGTGGATGCCAGACAGTCCTGGAGTGCAGAACGTGCCCCACAGAGGTGGGCACTCTGTCCTTCTGAGTGGGACTCGGGGAACTTAACCACTGCAGAGAAGTGGTAACCAGCGCATGTGTTGTCTCCTCAGGTCCCCTGAGCCAGAAGGGCTCCTTTGGGCAGTCCCCTGTGAATGGCGGTGAGTGCTCCCCGCCCCCAGGCACAGAGCCCCCTGGATGGCCGCCATCTGCGAGCCTGAACTTGGCACGCTGTGACATTGTGAGAGCCGACTTGGGTGAGCCTCTCCAGGGCCTCTAGTCCCGGACTCAGGGACACCATGCTGCCTTGCCCCGGGCATGGTTCCCTGAGCTCTGGTACAGAGCCTGGGCACTCCCGGCTCGGGTTTCCACTTAGCCCTGGGCCCTGTGCAGGCCCACCTGGATTGCAGTGCAGGAGCACGGTCCTGGGAGCAGTCGCCCACCCCGTCACTCCCAACCCTCTCTGGCTGTGGCATGGCAGAGGCCACAGTGTCGCCCTCTTAGTCTCTGCACAGTGTTCAATGAGTGGGCGCACTTTCGTCACCACTCACCTCTGGGCCACCAGGGACGGCTCCTGAGCTAGGCAGGTCCGCGTGTTACTGGTTCTGTGTGCTGCTCCCAAATCATATGGCCACTGTGTGTGGGCTCAGTCTTCTGTGGCCCTGTCTTCGTCCTCCACAGCCTGAGACTTAATGCAGCCTCTGCCTCTGGCTTGGGTTGCCACAGCGCAGCTTTCCCAGCTCCCCAGGTCAGCGAAGTGCTGACCAGGTGGAGCCCGCCCAGGCTGAGGCCTCCTTCGACCCCCCCCTACCCCCACCCCCACCCCCACTTGACGCCTGCTCAGTGAGCCTGGTACCTCTGGCTCCACTCGAGGGCTCCCTGGCCTCCTGCCTCCCACGGGCCTTGCAGCTGCTTGTCAGAGGCAGCCATGCCTCTGCTCCCTCCAGGGACAGTCCGCGGGGCTCTGCAGTGTTCCCAAGGGCACTTCCGAGGGCATGCCCGAGGCCTCTTCCGTCCTCGTCCTTATCCTCGTCCTCGTCCCCGACCTCATCCCTGCCCTCGTCCTCATCCTCATCCTCGTCCCCGACCTCATCCCTGCCCTCGTCCCAGTCCTCGTCCTCGTCCTGGGAAAGTCCTCTGAGTGCCTTCTCTGCCCCCAGATCCCGGCCTTGGCCCCGTGGCCAACAGCAGCTCCCGTGGCTCCTGCCCAGAGAAGGACATGGACAACGCCAAGGTGAACCTGGAGCCCGTGCCTTGGCCCCCGCTGCTCCATGGGTCCTCGGTTTCCCTCTGTTCTCCAGCTGGCCTGGGCGTGGCGACCCCGCTGGCTAGGTCACCATCTGACTGGGGCCTTCACTAAGGCTGGGGCCACGTGCTGAGTGCTGGAGCACAGCACACCTCATGCCCCTGCCTTGAGTGTTTGGTTTGGTACTTATTTTGAGTCAAGGTTTCCTTATGCAGCTCAAGCTGGACTTGACCTCACAGTACCCAGAGCCCACCTGCAGTTCCCTAGCAGTCCTCCCCCCTCAGCCTCCCGAGTGCGGGATGACCGGTGTGCATCGCCACACTCGCGTGCGCTTGATTTTTGGGAGCAGCTGTTGGGGTCCTCAGGCTCTGTGCTAGGCAGACCCCTTGCAATGATCCGGATGAGGTGGGCGTGGGCTCTTGTGGGAGTGGGAAGCCGGTTCCAGGGCCCCCTGAATCCGACCCCGGGTGGCCCAGGCTGCTGTGCCTCCTGGGTCCTGAGGCTGCTGCCTTGGCAGCCTTCGCACCGCATGGGGCCACCTGCAATGGTCAGAGCTCCATGGACTGCCTTCCAAGCAGCCCAGGCCCAGGCGCCTCCGCCAGCCCCTCCCTGTGCAGTGTCAACTGGCCGAGGCAGCTTCCTGTTCTCCCCAGATACCCCGGGACCCTGGGAGCCCTTGTGTCGCCCCTGTCGTGCCCAGGACAATGCTCAGGCTGGCTGAGTACAGTGAGCTGGCGCAGCGCCCCGCTGGCACCTCTGGAGCTCATCTCCACACGCGAGTGGGGACAGCATGGTGACCATGCTCGCTGCGTGGTGTGCTACTCACGAGGGCCTAGCAGGGTCTGGGGATCCCTTGACTCCTCTCGGGATGGGCACCCGGTGCCACTGCCGAGCTCGAAACTGGGCCTGCTTCTGTTCGCAGGTGAGCATGGCAGTGAAGGGGCCCCCAGCCCATCCAGGTCCCCCATTCCTGGGAGGCCCCATGCCGCCCCACATGGGCTATGGGTCGCCGCCGCCATCACCGCTCTGCAGGCCCTTCGGGCCTCGGCCAATGTCTCCTAGGCAACCGCCACCATTCGGTACAGTAGGACACTTGGGCCGGCACCACCGCCTACCCTGTCCTCTCTCCTCTCCTGTCCTGATTGGCAGCTGCAGCCCGCCTGACTCGAAGCACGAAGCCCAGCACTCTGAGCCCAGTGCAGCCTCCACAGCTGCTTGGACCAGAAGGGCCTTTTCTGCAGAGCCGAAGCCAGTCTCAGCGGGGTGGTCACCTGGGATGCCACAGGCCGCCGGCAGTGGGAGAAGGGAGGGTCAGGCTGTGGTTGAGCCTTACTGAGCCTCAGTTTTCCTTATCTGTGAAGTCCAGTGCATCACTCCACTTCCTGGCGCAGGGGAAGGGAAAGCCTTTCAGCAGACCTGGGCTGCTCCTCAGGACGTGTCCGCATGTCCCTCTTGCTTTCCAGTCGCACGCATGGGCCCACCACTGGGCTTAAGAGACTATGCGCCCGGCATGCTGCCCGGACGCCCCGACCTGCCTCTACATCCCAGCGAGTTCTTGCCGGGACCTGTGCCATTCAGGCCTCCAGGCCCGCTCGGTGCCCAAGCGTATTTCATTTCGGATCCGCGAATGCCACCACCACCGGCTGGACTCCAAGACTACCGACCACCGCCTGCCGGGCCCCAGGACAACCCACCGCTGCCTCCCGGGCCCCAGAACAACCCACCGATGCCTGCCAGGCCCCATGACTATGCACTGCCGCCTGCCAGGCCCCAAGACTATCCTCCGCTGTATGGAGGCCCCAGGACTACCCTCCGCCGTCTGCCAGGCCCCATGACTATGCACCGCCACCTGCCAGGCCCCAGGAAGACCCAGCACCATGTTCCGGGCCCCAGGAATACCCACCGCTGCCTGCCAGGCCCCATGACTACAAACTGCCGCCTGCCAGGCCCCAGGACTACCCAGCACCAAGTTCCGGGCCCCAGGAATACCCACCGCCGCCTGCCAGGCCCCATGACTACGCACCGCCGCCTGCCGGGCCCCAGGACTAGCCCCCCCCCCCCCGCCTGCCAGGTCCCATGACCACCCATCACCACGTTCCGGGCCGCAGTATTATGCACTGCCGGCTGCCAGGCCCCATGACTATTCACTGCCACCTGACGGGCCCCAGGACTATCCTCCGCCACCTGCCAGGCCCCAGGACTACCCACCACCACGTGCCGAGCCTCAGGACTGTGCACCGCCGCCTGCTAGGTCCCAGGAGTACCAACTGCCATGAGTTGAGCCCCAGGACAACCCACAACCATGTGCCAGGCCCCAAGAATACCCACCACCATGTGCCGGGCCCCAGGACAACCCACAACCATATGCCAGGCCCCAAGAATACCCACCACCACGTGCCGGGCCCCAGGACTACCCACCAACACATGCTGGGCCCCAGGACTACCCACCACCACATTCCTGGTCCCAGGACTACCCACCACTACCAGCCATGTCTCAGGAATGCCAGCCACCATGTACCGGGCCCCAGGACTACCCACCACCACCAGCTGGGCCTCAGGAATGCCAACCACCATGTGCCAGGCCCCAGGACTACCTTCCGCCTCCTACCAGGCACCAACATTAACCACTGCCGCCTGCCGGGCCCCAGGACTACCCACCACCGCCTGCCGGGCCCCAGGACTGCCCACCACCACCTGCTGGGACCCAGGACGACCCACCACCACCTGCCAGGCCCAAGGATTACCCACAACCATCTGCTGGGACCCAGGACGACCCACCACCACCTGCCAGGCCCAAGGATTACCCACAACCATCTGCCGGGCCCAAGACAACCCACCGCTACCTGCCGGGGCCGAAGACTACCCACCAGCGTCTGCCAGGCCCTAGGACTAGCCACAGCCACCTGCCGGGTCTTAACTGTCCAAAACTGCCTGCCAGGCCCCAGGACTACCCACCACCGCATGCTGGGCCCCAGGACTACCCACCGCCTCCTGCCGGGCCCCAGGAATACCCACTGCCATCTGCCGGGCCCCAGCACTACCCACTGCCAACTGCCGGGCCGCAGGATAACCCACCTCTACCTGCCGGGGCCTAGGACTGCCCACCAACGATGCTGGGCCCCAAGACTGCCCACCACTGCCTGCCGGGCCCCAGGACTACCCACCGCAGCATGCCAGTTCCCATGCCACTCACCAACAGGTTCTGGGCCCCAGGACTACCCATTACTGCCTGCTGGGACCCAGGACTACCCACTGCCGCTGGCCAGGACCAGTACTAGGCAGATCCATGTGCCGGGCCCCAGGATTAACCGCCGCGCCTAGCCATGCCCCAAGACTACCCTCCACCGCATCCCAGGGCCAAGCACAACCCACCACCACCTGCCGGGGCCAAAGACTACCCACCACTGCCTGCCAGGCCCTAGACTAGCCACGAACATGTACCAGACCCCAGGACTACCCACCGCTACCTGCCAGGCCGCAGGCCTCCCCACCACTGCCTGCCGAGCCCAAGGACTACCCAGCACTGCCTGCCGTACCCAGGACTCCCGACCACTGCCTGCCAGGCACCAGGACTATTCACCACCACGTGCCGGGGCCCAGGATTAGCCACTGTCATCTGCCAGACCGAAGGACTTCCAACCGTCACCTTCCAGGCCCCAGGACTACCGACCGCCACCTGCAGGGCCCCAGGACTAGCCACTGCCGCCAGCCACCACCATGTGCTGGGCCCCAGGACTAGCCACTGCGGCCTGCCGGGCCCCAAGACCACCCACCTCCACCTGCCGGGGCCGAAGACTAACCACCGTCGCCTGCCAGGTCCTAGGACTAGCCACAGCAACCTGCTGGGCCCCAGGATTACCCTCTGCTGCGTGCCAAGCCCCAGGTCTCCCCATCACCCTGGGAGGGGACTGAGGACCACCCACCGCTGCCTGCAGGGCCCCAAACTACCCACCACCATGTTACGGGCCCCAGGATTACCCACCGCCACCTGCCGGGCCCCAAGACTGCCCACCACTGAATGGGGGGCCCCAGGAATACCCACCACCACCTGTCGGGCCCCAGGACTACCCACCCCCGCCTGCTGTTCCCAGGACTATCCACCCCCGACTGCCGGAACCGAAGTCTACCTCTGCCGCCTGCTGGGCCCCAGTATTAGTCACCACCACTGCCGGGCCCAATAACTACCCACTGCCACCTGCCAGACCAGGACTAGGCAGAACCAGGGGCCAGGCCCCAGGACTACACACTGCTCCCTGCCAAGCCGCAGGACTACCCTCCCCCGCCTCCTTACGCCCAGCACAACCCACCACCACCTGCTGGGGCCAAAGACTACCCACCACCACCTGCCAGGCCCTAGGACTAGCCACCACCATGTGCCGGGCTCCAGGACTATCCACTGCTACCCTGCGGGCCACAAGACTCCCCACCACCATCAGCCGGGCCCCATGACTATGCACCACCGCCTGCCGGGTCCCTGGACTATTTTCCGCCACCTGCCAGGGCCCAGGACTACCCACCACCACGTGCCGGGCCCCAGGACTATGCACCGCCTTCTTCCAGGCCCCATGACTACACACCGCTGCCTGCCAGGCCCCAGGGAGACCCACCACCACGTGCCAGGCCTCAGTACTATGCAACGCCGCCTGCCAGGTCCCAGGAGTACCAACTGCCACGAGTTGAGCCCCAGGACAACCCACAAACACGTGCCGGGCCCCATGAATACCCACAACCACATGCCTGGCCCCAGGACTACCCACCGCCACCAGCTGGGCCTCAGGAATGCCAACTACCACATGCCGGATCCCAGGTCTACCTGCCGCCTCCTACCAGGCCCCAACATTAACCACCGCCGCCTGCCGGGCCCCAGGACTACCCACCACCACCTGCTGGGCCCCAGGACTCCCCACCGCCACCTGCTGGGACCCAGGACGACCCACAACCACCTGCCAGACCCAAGGACTACCCACGACCATCTGCCAGGCCCGTGACAACCCACCGCCTACTGCCAGGGCCAAAGACTACCCACCTCCGCCTGCCAGGCCCTAGGACTAGCCACAGCCACCTGCCGGGCCCCAACTGTCCAAAACTGCCTGCCAGGCCCCAGGACTATGCACCGCTGCCTGCCAGGCCCCAGGACTATCCTCCGCCACCTGCGAGGTCCCAGGATCACCCAGCACCACGTGCCGGGCCCCAGGACTATACACCGCCACCTGCCAGGCCCCATGACTACCCACCACCCCCTGCCAGGCCCCAAGACTACCCACCGATGCCTGCCAGGGCCCAGGACTACCCACCACCACATGCCGGACCCCTGGACTACCCACTAACACGTGCTGGGCCCTCTGGACTACCCAGCACCACATGCCTGGCCCCAAGACTACCCACCACCACATGCCTGGCCCCAGGACTACCGAGCAACACTTGCTAGGCCCCAGGACTACCGACCACCACGTGCCGGGGCCCAGAATTAGCCACTGTCATCTGCCAGACCGAAGGACTTCCAACCGTCGCCTTCCAGACCCCAGGACTACCGACCACCACCTGCAGGGCCCCAGGACTAGCCACTGCCACCAGCCACCACCATGTGTTGGGCCCCAGGACTAGCCACTGCGGCCTGCCGTGCCCCAAGACCACCCACCACCACCTGCCAGGGCCGAAGATTAACCACCGCCGCCTGCCAGGTCCTAAGACTAGCCACAGCAACCTGCCGGGCCCCAGGATTACCCTCTGCTGCGTGCCAAGCCCCAGGACTCCCCATCACCCTGGGAGGGGCCTGAGGACCACCCACCGCTGCCTGCAGGACCCCAAACTACCCACCACCATGTTACGGGCCCCAGGATTACCCACCGCCGCCTGCTGGGCCCCAAGACTGCCCACCATTGCCTGGGGGGCCCCAGGAATACCCACCACCACCTGTCGGGCCCCAGGACTACCCACCCCCGCCTGCCGGAACCCAAGTCTAACTCTGCCGCCTGCTGGGCCCCAGTATTAGTCACCACCACTGCCAGGCCCAATGACTACCCCTGCCACCTGCCAGACCAGGACTAGGCAGAACCAGGTGCCAGGCCCCCGGACTACACACTGCCCCCTGCCAAGCCGCAGGACTACCCTCCCCTGCCTCCTTAGGCCCAGCACAACCCACCACCACCTGCCAGGGCCGAAGACTACCCACCACCGCCTGCCAGGCCCTAGGACTAGCTACCACCACGTGCCGGACTCCAGGACTATCCACTGCTACCCTGCCGGCCACAAGACTCCCCACCACCACCAGCCGGGCACCATGACTACGCACCGCTGCCTGCTGGGTCCCTGGACTATTTTCCGCCATCTGCCAGGGCCCAGGACTACCCACCACCACGTGCCGGGCCCCTGGACTACCCACTAACACGTGCCTGGCCCCAGGACTACCCACCACCACATTCCTGGCCCCAGGACTACCGACCACCACCAGGTGTGTCTCAGGAATGCCAACCACCACATGTCGGGCCCCAGGACTACCAGCCGCCTCCTACCAAGCCCCAACATTAACCACTGCCGCCTGCCAGGCCCCAGGACTACCCACCACAGCCTGCTGGGCCCCAAACTTCCCACCACCACCTGCCCGGCCCCAAGACTACCCACCGCCACCTTCTGGGACCCAGGATGTCCCACCACCATCTGCCGGGCCCAAAGACTACCCACAACCATCTGCCGGGCCCAAGACAAGCCACTGCCACCTGCCGGGGCTGAAGACTACCCAACACCGCCTGCCTGGCCCTAGGACTAGCCACAGCCACCTGCCGGGCCCCAACTGTCCAAAACTGCCTGCCTGTCCCCAGGACTGCGGACACCGCCTGCCGGGACCCAAGACTACCCACTGCCTCCTGCCAGGCCCTAGGAATACCCCTCGCCATCTGCTGGGCTCCAGGACTACCCACTGCCGCATGCTGGGCCCTAGTACTACCCACCGCCAACTGCCAGGCCCCAGGACTACCAACCCCCACCTGCCAGGCTCTAGGACTACCCACCCCCGACTGCCGGAACCCAAGTCTACCTCCGCCACCTGCCAGACCCCAGTATTAGTCACCACCATGTGCCAGGCCCAATGACTACCCAC